CACAAACATAGCAGGGCACCTATGAAAAACCTAAAGCTAATTCCATACTTAATGGTGAAAGACTGATGCTTTCCCTCTGAGAGTAGGAACAAAAAAAAAATATCCACTCTAACATTGTACTAGATGTTTTAGCCAGAATGATTAATCAAGGGGAAAAAATTAAAGGCATCCAGCTGGAAAGGTAGAAGTAAAATTGTCTTTCTTTGCTGAAGACATGATCTTGTATAAACAAAATTCCAAAAACTTCTAGAACTTGTAAGACTTAAACAAGGTCACTGCATATAAGGTCGACATACATAAATCAATTGAATTCCTACACCCTAGCAATGACCAGTCTGAAAATAAAAACAATTCCATTCACAACAGCATCAGAAAGAAGAGAATACTTGGAAATAAATTTGATAAAAAAAAAAGTCTAAGATACACTGAAAACTGCAAAACATGTTGAAAAAAATTAAAGAGAACCTTCATAAATGGAAAGATACCTCACATTCATGAATAGGAAGACCTAATATTGCTAAGATGGCAATACTCCTCAAATTAGTCTACAGATTCAACACATTCTCTACCAAATCTTTGTTGCCTTTTTTGTTAAAATTGACAACTTGATTATAAAATTCAAGTGAAAATGCAAGGAACCCCGAACAACTAAAAAAAAAATCTTTAAAAATATAACAAAGTTAAAAGACTTCCCAGATTTCAAAACTTACTACAAAATTCTAATAATCAAGACACAGTGGTACTGGGATAAAGAAAGACATACAGATCAATGGGATAGAACTGCAAATCCAGAAATAAACCTTTATACATAGTCAATTGATTTTCAACAAAAGTACCAAGAAAATGGGTATCTTTTCAATAAATGGTGATGAGACAACTGTATATTCACAAATGAAAATATAAATTTAAGTATCTCTCTCATACATACCAACAAACTAACAAAATGGATAAAAGACTTAAATGTAAGAACTAGAACTATAAAATTCCTAGAAGAAAACACAGGAGTAAATCATTATAACCTCAGATTAGGCAATAGTTTCTTAAGTATGACAACAAAAGCATAAAAGACAAATAGGTAAGTGGGACTTCATCAAAATGAAAAAACTTTAGTACTTCAAAAAACATCATTGAGAAAGTGAAAAGCTGAATGGAAGAAAATATTTGCAAATCATATATCTGAGAAGGACTTGTATCATTGAGAATATATAAAGGACTCTTACAACTTAACAGAAAGATAAATATAATCTTTAAATGGGCAAAGGTTCTAAACAGACATATCTCCAAGACAGATATACAAATGACCAAACAGCACATGAAAAGACACTCAAAGTCATTAAGAAGTTCATATCAAAATCACAACAAGACACAGTTTCATAATCACTAGGATATCTATGGACGGAAGGAAGAGAGGGAGGGTAGGAGGGAAAACAAGTATTGGTAAGGATGTGGGAAAACTGGAAACCTCATACATTGCCAGTGAGAATGTAAAATGGTAGGGTTGTTCTGGAAAACAGTTCGGCAGTTTAATTCCAATCATAGAATTCCAAATGAAATAGAATAGACAAATAGGTCTACACAAAAACTTGAATACGAATTCTATAACAACATTATTCATAGTAGCCAAAAAGTGGAAAAAGCCCAAATGTCCATTAACTGAATGGATAAACAACAAATATCCACAATGAAATGTTATTCAACAAATAAAAAGAAAAAAAGTACTAATGCATGTGACAACATGGATAAACCTCAAAAATATATGCTCAGTGAAAGAAGCCAGATACAAAAAAGCATATATTGTATGATTTAATTCATAAGAAGTGTTCAAAAATGTTAAATCTATAGAGACAGAAAATAGATTAGTGGTTGCTTTGGGCTACAGGTCAGAATGGTGATAGCTAAAAGGTACGTACAGGTTTCTCTTTGAGGTAATAATGTTTTAAAATTGTATGATGGTTCCGCAAATCTGTGACTATACTAAAAACCATTGAATTGTATACTTTAAGCCACCATGAAGAAGCCCAATGTCTGATCTCGGAAGTTAAGCAGGGTCTGGCCTGGTTAGTATTTGAATGGGAGATCACCTAGGAAGACTAGGTGCTGTAGGCATAAATAATAATAAATAATAAAAAAAAAATAAAATAAAATGGTCTCTTATTTAAAAAAACAAAAAATAAAATTAGATTGTGGTGATGGTTGTGCAACTCTGTAAATGTGCTAAAATTATTATAGACAAAATGGGTTAATTTTAAAATAGTATATTACATTGCAATAAAACTTGATTTTTTAAAAAAGACACTGAAAGTTATTGCGATCTTCAAAAATGAGATCAAACACTGAAGACAGGATTAGAGGTTCTAAAGTAATGCAAATTTAAAGGAACTTTTTCCCCTCTCTAGATTTATTTTTGTTGCTTCTACTTCCCTGATTACACAGCAGCAATTTATAAAATGTTTCAACATATAGCCTAGCAAAACTCAGTAATATATGTGACTAAAATAAAAAATTAAGTCTATTGTTAAAATAGATTTTCCAGAGATATACTAACAATATTCCTCCACATTATAATGAACTAGAGGCCCTAAATTTCCTCATCGGTGAAATAAGGCCAATACTATTTATATCTCACAGAGTTGTGAAAGTTTAATGACATAATCCAGCCTTAACCTACTCCCTGGCATATAATAAGCACCCAACAGATATTAGCTGCCATGATTATAGAGGGTATTCAAGTCCAGTCTGATAATATTACTCATGTACTCTGTTAATGATATACCAAAAGGAATAATTAATGGGGTAGGAAGAATAGTGACTTGATGAGAACATTATATTATCAGAGAACTAAGTACATAAGTAAATTTTATAGCTCATTGGTAGTGAAAATGAGATCAAGAGGGAAAAAAATTCTGGAGAATAGGGAAGCAAAACTGGCTCTTGCCTAAAAATATTCGATCCGCCCAAGAGAATTTTACAAATATACATATCCTTTGTAACGGGACACAAATATATGATGATTTCCCATTCCTGTTTATTGTTCTGAAAAAAAATCACTTCCTAATTCTGCCTGTTAATTTAACTCTCATAACCAACTTTCATCTAAGCAACTCATTACATTCTATCCCATCTCAGTTTCCAGACATTCTAACCATCTCAAACATTTCACCCACATGAATTTAGCAAGTAGAAGATTTGAAAAAAGGTTAAGAATCAAAAGCTCCAGAACCTTCAGAAAAGGTAGAGAAAAACTAGTTTAGGTACAGAGAAGTACCCTCCTAAGCTTATGCTATTAGGATTTGGTCAGGTTCTCTCTACCATACATTAGAGATTATTCAAAAAATTTTTCACTTTCAATTTCCCCACAAATACAATGCAGAAGAATCTTCTGAACATTTTAACTTTATGAATCTGAACTAATACAATATAGCTATTAATAAACAATACATACAGTATTACATCAGGTACAAATTTTAAAATAATACAAAGCCCTCCAAATATAAAAAATTGTCAGAAATCACAGTGTATTATTCCGAAGCTGGCCAGCTGAGTAAACAAAACTATTGCAGAGTGGCTGCATCACTCTGACCAATAAAAAGAACCATCCATCCTCCTTAGTCAGGACTATGTCAACAATTGTTCTTTTTGTGTTTTAAAAACATGGTCATTTCAGGTACTGCTGTGCTTTTATTTCAATAATATCCACTGCTATTAAATTTTAAAATCTTTTTTTATCCTCTAACGATGTCATTAAATGAATATCATAGTGTAATGCAGACAACATGCCTGAAAAAGTCAAATGTAGTAAGCTCTATAAGGAAAGCCAAACAATTGCCCTTCGTGCTAGGCTGATAATTTAGGGAATAACAAAATGAAAAGTATCAGAGATACCAAAGATAATGCCAGGAACATGAAAGGCAATATTAAAGGAATAATATGTTACAATAACCAGATATTGATATCCTCAAAGAACCTGTTCCCACCACCTTACAAGCATTGTTATGGGAAAATCAGACTTAAATGATATAAATTTTGAAGTGTGCAAGGTTTTTAAAATATTTCTCTCGTAATATAAAACCACCTTGTACATGTAAACCCTCAGAAAATGTTTAATTTTGTTTAATTTTGTAATTAAAAAATATAATTCCTCTACTTTAGCACTTCATCTCTCAAATAAAACTTTTGATATCATAATACTCTGTGGAGAAACCAAGTCTATAAATTGAGTTCAAGGTTACTATGAGGCTCAAAGCATAATCATTGCATCTATTGAGCTGCTCTGTTCACCTTAACAATTTATCCCTTGTATGGTAGACGGTCAGGAGGTATATAAACTTTTATGGAGTCACCAATATGTTTTTATATTTCCTACAGACAGGGGAGAATAAGACTAAGTACCTTATAAAGTACGCTTACATAAATGCAAGAACTCCAATCAGGCTTCTAACTTGTGTGCTCTCCCAATAATTGTAAAATTTACCTTGCTATTGTCGTTTTTTTTATTCATGTACTACTCAAAAAGAAAATTCAAAATTCAATACTCTTTTGTAAAATAATAACCTTCTAATCATTTACTGATGTCCAACCATGAAATGCTCTTAAGTTCCTTCTGATAATTGCAATCTGAATTCCCTATATATTTAACTCCAGTATATCCGTAATTCATTAATACTATGACTATATGACCACAGTTGCTAAATAGAGCATCTATTTCACTGCAGAACACAAATGATAAATCAAGCATTATAATCAGTCTGTATATAACTCTTGTATTATCACCTAAAGCTTATCAAGACATTCCAAATGCACAAATACCAGGAGTTAAGATGACAGAATCACAGAAAGTTAGAGCTTAGAAGGAACCTTGGAGGCCACTACATTTAATCCTTAATATTTTAAAAGTTGGGGTAACTGAGACTCAAAGAGAATAAATGAATCACCCACGGTCACACTATTTATACATAGTATAAGCCCATCCTATGTTATACATACATACATATATATCTTACCTTTCTGGTGATGTCTTGGAAGTGACAGGACACCCACGAACACCTTTTTTACTTTTATGGTCTAGAGAGAGGACCTTGTTTCTTAGGTTTCTTTCCCACTGGGGAAAAAAATAAAATTTTAATAATAAATATAGCAATATGACAATAAAGAGGTACTTATATTTTCATTTTATTTAGAAATTCAAGATAAAACAGCTAAATTCATAACAGTTCACACAGGGGGAAAAATGCAATCTACAAAACTCCTGGCTCTTTTGCTATCGCAGAAATGTAAGTCTAACAAAAAAATAGTAGAAATGGATTTTAAAATTTCAAGGTAACTTTAGTCAGACAACCAACATTTTAAGATTCTAAAGCTTACATAACTATGAAAATTTTTGAAGGAAATAATAAAAAGTATTACATGCCAAGTTAAATAGTGCCTGTGATTCTTAATTAACTATATTTATAACTGGAAGGAATCACAACTGGTTCCCTATAATATGCTGTATGAAAATTTTAGGCAAGAGTCAGACATCTAACAGGTTAGATTTAATCTGATTAGAAAGTTAAAACTGATTTAATATACAGTGTGAATCTAATTATTTATCATATTTTTCTGCATTAATTTCCTTATCTGAAAATGGATGCAATAATAGTAGCTATCTCATAAGGATGTATGATGATTATATACATAGTAAGTTGAAAACACTGTCTTCTTTGAAGAGATATTTGTATACCCATATTCACAGCAACATTGTTCACTAAAGCTAAAAGATGAAAGCAATTCAAGTGTCTCACTGAGGAATGAACAAATAAACAAAATGTGGTATATATATATACACACATATATATACACAATGAAATATTATCTGGCCTTAAAAAAGAAGGAACCTCTGACACATTATAACATGGATGAAACGATGAAGGTGAAACAACGGAAAATATATATATATTGGTGTCTGACCCCAGTTCCTGGCACAGAGCTCCTAAAACCCTTGTAATCACCTAAGCAATAAGAGTACTAACTACACAGTACACGTCAGCAACAACGTAACATTTTATTTCCATATACTTTCCATCTGGAGTTGGTTGAAACCATGGATGTGGAACCCAAGAATATGGAGGGCCAACTATATATAATTCATAATTTTTACTCAATTCAATATTCTAACATAAAATACAATATATAAATACAAAGAGACAACATTTTCTTAGTATCTTTTTTCTTCCTATTAAATTGGCAACAATTTTTTTAAATAAAAAAATTGGCAACAATTTTACTGTGCGGTTATACCCAGTGCTAGTAAGTTTGTAGATAACTGGGAGACTTCATTGATGGCAATATAAATTAGTACGAATTTTCTGTGAGACAATTTTGCAATATTTACTAAAACTTAACATACAAATTCCTGTAGACCCAGCAATCACACTCAAAAATGGGCCCCTACAGATGAAAAATGATGTTCACTGTAACACTGTTTCTATTAACAAAACACTGGAAACAACAAAACTAATATCAGTGCACTAAGTAAATAAACTATGGTATGTAGTATATCTTTGGAATACTGCAAAGCCATCAAAAAATAAGAAAGGTAGATCTGGATATGTTAGAAAAAAAGTTTAAGATATATTATTAACTGAAAACAGCAAAGCACAAAACAGTATGTATTTCATGATCCCTTTTGTGCAACAATCAAAAAAAAACAATATAAAAATCATTTGTGGGCATCTGCATTTGTTTTTTTCTTGAAAGGAAAAAGAAACTGTTAATAGTGGTTGCCTTTAGGAAAAAGGGATTTTTTATTTGCTTCCCTTATACCTTTGTATACAGTCCAAATTGTCTAACCTTATAAAATATTTTTTCTTTTTATGTCAATAGAAATCATCTGGTCCCATTTATTATTTCCCTTTTTTGCACATTGTATAAAAACTTCATGATTTAATAACTAAAATTTTAAATAATGTTAAAGCAACTAATATTAATGACAAATCTTTCCTCTGAGAACAAGTTATAATAAATGGTTAATTCTTCTTGTCTGTAACATAAGAACATATATATTCAAAGTTAGTTAAAGTTTATCTTAAAATGCTAGTTATGAACTGAATTTTGTCCCCTCCCCCCACCAAATTCATATGTTGAATCCTAACTGCCAAAATGACTGTATGTGGAGATAAGGCCTTTACAGAGGTAATTAAGGTTAAATGAGGTCATAAGGCAGGGCCCTAATCCAACAGGACTGGTGTCCTTATAAGAACAGAAAGAAATACCAGAGATGTGGGGGCACAAAAAAAGGCCATATGAGGAAACAACAAGAAAATAGTCATCTGTAAGCCACAGAGAGAGGCCTTAAGAGAAACCAAGCCTGTACACATCTCGATCTTGGACTTCCAGCTTCCAGAATTGTGAGAAAATAAATTTTTGTTGTTTAAGCCACCTAGTCAGTGGTATTTTGTTATGTTAGCCTAGCAGACTAATATAGCATCAAATGGATAAACTGGAAAATCTGAGAAAAATTGTCTTTAAAAAACTGACCATGACTTATGCCAGGGAAGAGAAAAAATAATACTTAAAAAGTGCTATCTTAAGCCTTATTCATGAGATCTCTATAATAATGCTTAATAGGGATAAAATTAAAGTCCAGATTTATAATCAGAATATCTTTTGAAAAACAGCTGTGCTACAGTGTTACCCTCTAAGATATGCCTTCAAATTCACAAAAAAAAAGAATGAGCATGTGATTCTAAGAAGCTTGATATTCTCATAAATTTAAAATACAATTTATTTTACAACAATGAGATTTCAATGTCACGAGGAAAACAAGAATGTATAAGGTATGCTCTGATGTAAACTGAAGAAGACCCTAACCTCAGAGCATCAGTTCAACATATGCCAGAAATAAGCTAATTTAAAATCTGCAAATAAGTAATACAAGAAAATCTACAAAAGAACGCATAAGAAAATAAAAATTCAGTTTTACTAAAATATTTTAAACACACCAAATAACACTGTATACTTAAAAGAAATTAGTTTTTATTTACCCCCTGCAAAGAGAGATCCCACCGTTCTGAGCTTCTGAGTTTGGACAGTGATGATTTTACACAAACATCATCTGGTTTTGCATTTAACATCTTTGTTATCTGAAACCAGAATGAGAAAATAATCAGTTTTATTGAAATATAAATAAGAGCTGAATCAGCTAACAGAACCATTATATTATCTGCATTAATATTTTGCTATTAGCTTTAAAGAGTTTTAAATACAGTGCTTAATTTATAGGCAGTTAAGTATAATTTTATTAAAAAAGAAACATCTCATTCAGTATAAAGATAGATAAATGAAGAATCACAATAGCTTCACAACTATTCTCTTACCTATAGTCTCTTCCCCTTCTAATTTTTCAAATGCTATCCCTAGGGTTCTCTAATATACAAATCTAATTATGGCTATAATACTTAAAATGTAACAATAGCACCCACACTTAGAGACAAAACTCTTATCAATCTAAGCTCTTTCACATCACCCACATGCCACAAACTCTATATCCCAACCACATCAAGTTTACTCAGCCTTCTTCAAACATGTCAAATTACTTTAGATCTCTAGACCTTTCTATATACTGTTCCCTCAATCTAGAATGCCCTTCCCTCTTCTCCTTATGAAATATTTCAGATTCTGCTCAAATTTATTCTCTTACCCACACAACTGTCACTTCCACACCAAGGCATTCCTTTCTCTGGGTATTAGTACTTGGTACATTTATATCACATTATTTATATTACACATAGCACACTATAACTGTCTATATATCTATCTTCATCTCCAGGCTGTGGAGGTCCTTAAAGAGAAGGCCCTGACTTAGTCACCTTTATATTGCTTGTTATATGTTGAATGAACAAATGAATGAATATATGCGTCATAGTCACAGTTTGAAATCACTAGTTTCAAACTTAAATATCTTAACTTTCATATTGAAAGTTATAAATGATGGTTAAGCATCAAGTTCGGCCTACAAAATATAATATATAATAAGCACTGTTTCAACTACAACCAGTAACAATCCATAAACTGATTTCAATGAAAGTGAAACAGAAATCAGAAGGATAAAATAAATTAGAAAAAAATGTATCTCGACTCTTTTACTTCACTATCCACCTCTGAGTTAATCCTCCTGGGCATCAATAACTTACTAATTATTTATACTTAATCTATATAAAAAGATACCTCTTTAGAATTCTTCATCTGCAAAAGACAATGTTATCTCTAAATCAATTGTTTCCTTCTATTTTTAATTAGGGAACAATAGTTGCTTTTTCAGAAGATAAGGCAAGGGCTTCTGGCTGTTCACACCCATAAATTCTTTGTGAATAGGTTTTTTAGCCTACACTGGATAATATGGCATATTGTATTTTCTAAAGATGGCCACACCAATAATCCACATCCCATATGCTCTTTTTACAAGGTAACAGTGACAGTGCTCCAACATCAGGTGTGGTTTATGCTCCTTCCCTTGAATCTGGGCCTGTGACTTCCAAAACTAGATCATAAAAAGTAATTATAGCTTCTGCCTATCTCTCACATCCTTGAGTGTTCTTCCCTCCTCCCTCCCTCTTTTTTCTTTCTCCGTCCTTCAGCACTATGGAGGAGAGACTGTTTCGTAACATGAGTGCTGTCTGACCGAAGGGTGGACTGGCCCAGAAAGACTGCTTACTGCAAACTCCCCCTTAAAGACTGTCTCTGATCATTAATCAATGTTCATTCTGACTGAATCAGCATCCCTCCCCTGCCTCCAGCTACATGATGGTTCTTGGAACAGGCTGTTGTCCTGACCTGGTCAAGCATGAAAAGCAATTTCTCATACCTGGAAGCCTTCACATACTAGTACCCATGACTATTCTCCTCTTTGATCCTATATAATTCTTTGGCACCTGTCAACTGGCTCAGGAAATCTACTTCACCTTGCAGCTGCCCAAGATGTGCCTCCCATTTAAGTTTCCCTTAATAAACTCTGCTGATTGCCAGATTGGAGTGGCGAACCTCTTTCTTCAGTCTTTTCCTGCCTTCTGCTTACAGAAGTAGATTTTCATTCTTAGGAGTTTTCCATGGGTCTGCATGTATTAACAGGTACACACACACACACCTCGGAAGCCCAGAGGCAAAGGGTAAAACAATCTTGGCTACTCTGAAGCCATTATGGTAGAAAGATCACTCAGGAGGGCTAAAAAGAAGATTGCCACCAAGACATCTGAGTCTTCCCAGCACAGGTATCAAGCTAAGTGAGTGAGTCTTTAAGATGATTCCAAACCCCTGCCTCCAAGCCAACTTGGCTAACTTCGAGTGGAACAAAAAAAGGCTATCTCTAATTGAACCCAGCAGAAATTCCAGATTCATGAGCAAAATAACTTTAAAACATTAAGTTTGGAGTAAATTTGTTATATGGCCATCGTAATAACCTAAAAAGAGATCAAGCTCAAATCTGCAGGACATCAACCGAGATTTAGTAAGAGTTGGGTACAAGTGTCAAGTATTATGTAAAATGAGTATCTTATAAAAGAATGTTGATGTCCCCTGTGAAAGATTTTATATTCTTTTTTTTTCACATTAACCAATTTTTATCTTTTTACCTATGAGTGGCTTAGACTCAATGTCAATGAATCATTTACTTTAACAAATATTCATGTATACTTCCACTAGTATGGACATAAAATATAATCTACCCTGTTTTCAAACTTCCCCCAAAGTATAGACACATGACATCTGGATAGTAATTAAAACTCTAAACCTGCATTAAAAACCTTGAAAATGTTCACGTACTCTTACTTAGCAATTCTACTTTTAGAAATTTATCCTACAGAAATAAAATCAAAGTACATACATACAAATATTTATGAACAAGGTTACAAAAACTAGAAACAATGATAATAAAAGAATAATTAAAGAAAATCATGGTAAAACAAAACAATGATATTATACAGTTGTTATTAAATAAAATGTTCCAGAATAATTAACAACTTAAAAAATTATTTTCAATATTAGAAAATATGTATGTACAGAATGACCTCTTCTATAATGCAAAAAAAAATCACATATTGAAAAATACATGGAAAGAAATATACAAAAATGTTTAACAGTGATTATCTCTGAATACTGAGATAATTTCATTTTTGTGTTTTCCTATGTTTCCAAATGTTTTATTTTTTTTAATAGGAATACCATGCAATTATTAAAGGCAAGAAAAAATAAACATTTAACCCATTTCCTATTTAGAAAAAAATGTTGTAGCTCACTGCCAGCTTAATTTCATTTTACATAAACACACTCTTTAAGGCTGAAGCGAATCTGACTGGTTTCAATGTGAAAATAAAATATAAAAACTGTTCTTGGAGTTATTTCTAAACAGAACTTGTCTCTAACCTTACTGGAACAGAAATGTATATGACGATCAGTATTTAATAATTTTTTTCGTGTGGTAAATTTCTCAGCACGGAACAACACAAAAGTAGAACATCTAGGATTTAACATTTTCAGCAATCAAGAATTACTGTATTTTGTAAATGGAAATGCCACTACTAAAAACAGAATGTTAAATAGAATGACGTCATCTGTTTCCAAAGACTATCAATATACTAGAGAAATGTGAAAATAATAATAAAAGTGAGATATTTCATGGCAAACTTTGGGGGTAAGGTTCAGACTGCAAATCGCGTTATCTTGGGGTAAACGCTGCAGCTGCAAGCACTGCCGGTGAGTATTCGCAGGGCAAACATGAAATGGGTTAAAGCTCCAGAAAAATCTCTGCTTTAGCTTCCTGGTCAATAAATTATAGATCTAAATCTCTCACTCTAATATTGTATTAGAGTGGCAAGCAGATTTCAGGTAAAACTAACTACTGTCAATTTTTCCTACTCATTTTTTTCTAAATGATTATATTATCAAAAATAATGTAAGTCTTTTTTGCAACAATCTGATCTCTTCCTAGACAAATTTTAATTATGGTCTCAACTGTGTATACAAGCAACAAAGATTCTAAGCTATTAATTCTACAAATCCTATATTATAACTCCATTACAAGAATCAGAATGGATGCCTAATCCATTTTTTAAGTATTTTTTAATAGTCTCTTAATACTTTAAAAATTAAAATTTAATCTGTTCAGGCAAAAATGGGTTATAAATCACTTTCCCTTCAAGTTATACTTAAATACATTGATAGCACTCTAATAACTTCCAAAAAACAAAGCTTAAGAACATTTATTTTATTTATTAATGTTAGATGTGATATAATACTAAACAAGCCATTTAGCAAATCAATTCACGTTGTTACTTTGAGGTTCATTACAGTATTCCCTCAAAAAGAGAATGCTATCAAAAGCAGATAACCCAGGGGAAAAAAATATATGCTGGATTCTATTGACAAGTTATATATTGCTAACACATACTCTTTTTATTTCCCATGTAAATTTGTTTTATTTTTTTATTAAATTTATTGGGGTGACATTGGTTAATAAAATCATATAGGTTTCAAGTGTAGGATTCAATAATATGTCATATGTATATTGCATTATGCATTCACCACCCAAAGTTAGATTTCATTCCATCACCATACATTTGACCCCCTCTACCCATACCTACCCCCCCTCCCCCTCTCTCTGGTAACCATTAAACTACTGTGCGTATCCATTAGTCTCTGCTTGTTTGTCATAACATATACTCTTTAAACTTTTCAGGCTAAAATGATCTTTGCCATGTTCTTAATACAAAACTTCAGAATCTCAATCACTTACTTGTTCAGATACTACATAGATATAAAGCTATTATTTAAAGAAAATTGGGGGTCTGCGCATAGATATGGCTATGACTTACCGAAGAAGAATAAAACTCTTGTTTTCAGTTTTCAAAATAAAGTACCATCCTCCCCATGTATAAATCCAAAGACTATAGATCTCCCCATTAGCAAAATTCAAAGTATTCAAACTCTTTGTCTACATCTATCTGAGAGATCACCCTTGAATTAATCTACACTCAGCTTCCATCAAAAAGCCAGGAATAATTTAGTAGATAATAATGTTCCAAAGATTAAGCTACAAGGATATATGCAGCACTGTTTTTAATTTTTTTTAATTGAAAACTCAAAATTATAATAATAGGATATTGGTTAAATTAATTGTGACACACCCATATAATGGAATATAATGTAGTCATTAAAAATGTTTACCACTGCTTCCCTGGTACTTATGTCTATCTAGTATAGTGTCTAATACATGTTAGGTATCTGATAAATATCTACTGAGCAATACTTTAAATCTGATTTCAGAAAATTATGTTCACAGTATATAGTTAAGTAGAAAAAGCAAATTATAAAACAGAATTTTGTGGTTTTCTATTTTTTAATACTTAAATATTTGTTTATTATAGATGTATAGACAAACTGGAAGAACATACACCAAAGTGTTGCTTTTAGTTGTTTCTGGGTAGTCTTCTTTTTGCTCTAATGAATTTTCTAATTTCTCTACAACAAACTAGTTTTGCTTTAGAAATATTTTTCAAATACTTTAAACTCAAAATGTTGTCAGTATCTTGTCCCTATATCCATCAAAGCTCTAAATCTTTCAGTAATTTATTTCCTTAGCTATCCTAGAAAAAAAGCTATAATATAAACTACTAACAAGAATATGCTAATTTTCTAAGAAATGCTAGAGTTTTAAAATGCAGTAGTACGTCTTTATTTGTATTTTATTGTCGAACAATTAAGTAAGCAAACTGTATATAATGAAATAAAATAAATAAATAAAAATAAGGAAAGAGAGAAAGCTAGAACAAGCCCCGTGGTGTTGGATTAGAATCAAAAGTATCAGTACTGAACTCATGGCTTTTTATAGATGTACAGAGAAGTAGATAGAGAAATAAATATAGAGATGTGTATATGTGTATAGGTTAGCATGCTTATATTTTTCTAGTCCTGTCTTATTGAAAGAGCCTAGATACAATGACACCCAGCAGCAATGAACACACCTAACACTCAGACCTGAGTTTCCAAATACCATCTTCAATAAAAAGAACCAGGGCTCCTTAAAAGTACCTTGTAGTATCAGAAAGTAAGGAATGCTCAAAAAAAGAGCATGTCAAAAGGGCACAGAAGCCAATCTGAAAGATCTCCAAATGCCAAAGCTGGAAAACTTTGATTAACAAAAGCAATAACAATAGTAATACATTACAATCCAGAGAATAAAATAAATACCTACGAATCTATACTGATACAAGTAAATAATTGAATGAATAAATAAATAACAGAGGAAGAGGGACAGCTCTCCATTACAGAAGAATTTTAATTAATAAATATAAAAGGTATGAGGAAAATTAAAAATTACCAATAGGATATCATGTATATAATTGTTACAGGCAAGATCCACTGCAAGATGCTAAAACAGTGGTTGAAAGTTGAGAAGAGATAGTATATTTGCATAGATTCAAAGTATCTCTCCCAAAATATCTATTTATTACAAAGGGAAGGAGAAACTGTACAATATAGTAACCAGGCAGACACCATCTTCAACAGGTGACGAAGACTGACAACATCAGTAATAAGACACATGATCACCATGTACCCACTGATAGGATACATTGAGACGGGTATATCGCTTCTGTTGTATTCTTCCCCAAAAGTTACAACCTTAATCTAATTATAAGAAATCTGAGACAAGATATCTAACAAAACACTGACCAATAAGTACTCTTTAAAAGTGTTATGGTTATGAAAGAAAAAACACTGAAGAACTGTCATTGCAGCAAATCAAGACATGACAACTAAATGCAATGTGGGATCCTGGATTGGATTCTGGAACAGGAAAATGACATTAGTAGAAAAACTGAAGGAATCCAAATAATGTCTATAGTTTAGTTTAAAGTATTACACCAATGTTAATTTCTTAATTTTGATCATTGTATTAAGCTTATGTAAGATATTAATATTGGGGGATCCTAAATGAAGGGTAGACAGGAACTCTGTATTATTCCTATAACTTTCTGTAAATCTAAAGTTACTTGAAAAAAAAACTTAAAAAATACTGTAGTACATCTAAAAATAAGAAAGAGAAATGTATTTACTCAATATTATAAATTTCTAATGGTGGAATTTCAGATTAAATTTCATGAAGCAATAGCCTAAGGCAGAACATTTCACTTCACTGGAGGTATTAAGTAGTAGTCAGTATATGTGTATTTAAAACTAGGTATGGTAGCAATGTTAAGATTTTCTTTTTTACCTGCCTCATTTACCCCACTTAACCTAATCTAGAATTTTATATAAAGGAACCACATCCCACAAATGTGAAGAAAGCCAAGGTACAGAGTACCCAAAGTCATGCTCTCTGTGTGGACTTACAAGGCATTCTTTATTCCCTTTTATAGCTCTCCTGTATGATTTCTTCTCCCTCCTTGTTCTATGAAATGTACCAAATTAAAGTTCTCAGTGACAAAGTCCTCTGTGCATAACTTATAATGCTTCAGAGAAAAGTTATCTAATAAACTATTATAAATCAAGGTACTACTGCATTTAAATCACAAAATTCTAGAGTGAAAAACAGACTTTCTAAAAACCGATTAATTTTTTGAAACACTTCCTAAATAGGTAGAAACTTCACATTTTGCTTGTTTTGCTACTCTTGGCTTATAGAGAAGAAATAAATAAAGGAAAAACAAGAGGTTTAAAAGAACATATTCCAAATAGTAATTGTCAGCACGTGACTTGAGTGTAAGTCTTCTACAGTATTATAATGAATGAACATGAGGTGCTCTAATTTATTCAGTCATCGAAGACTGAATATTTTTTATAAAATCTACAATGAGGCCTAGATAGTATACTTGTACATCTCATAATGATTTAAACAAGGCTGATGCCAGAAAGGGTTTCCTGGTTAACCCTCAGTTAATTAGGATACACACCATTCCCCAAAAAACACCAATTAGTTATGGTTTTACAGTATTTTCTTTACTTTTTAAAAATGTTCTTAAAAAGACAAACAGCAAAATACTTTCATTATAAGTAACTCTAAAGATAATGAATAGGTAAAAAAAAAAAATTAATGCATACCTTATGTAACTCAGAAGATGACTTTTTTCTTTTTCCTTCCGTGACAATTTCTACAAAGACATGGTAAAAATTATCATTTAATAACTAAATGAGATAAACAATGTCATAAAATAAATCCTTTCACAGCCATCTTTGTTTTACACTAACTTATTAGATTTATAATTTACATTAATAGATTTTACAGAACCTGACAGACTAAAAACATAAAGATCAAAAACTAATCAGAAGAACAGCAGATTCTCACAAAATGTCTCCATTAACCAAAATATGTATGATGACATAGAAGAAAAGAAAACTTGGCTCTAAAAACTAAATAAGAATTTTCCTGGCAAAAGCCCTAGCATCTAACAGGTATTCAATAAATGTTAGTTGAACTGTATGACCAGATAACTTCTCAATACTTATGATATAGGGGGCGGGGAGGTGGAGCAGAAGTTGAGAGAAATATTTTTAGTTCCACTACATATCTAAGCATCTACGCAACTGGGAACAGCTTAAGTCTTTCCTCACCAACACTGTTCAGACTTTCTATAGATTTTTCTTTTATGAATCATTCATTCAATCAACAAATATTTATTGAATGCCTATCATGTGCCTGACACTATGCTAGGCATTGAATACAGCGCAGTGAGCAATTTAAACACAGTCTCAGGGTTCCTGGAACTTAAAATTTATTGGAATATATCACAGATTTCATAATAAAAGTGGTAATGATCCACACATATGTGGTCATCTATTTATGACAAACACACCACTGTAATTCAGTGGGAAAGGAACAGTCTTTTCAATAAGCAATGCTGAAGCAATTTGATAACGAAGTGGGAAAATAAACAAACCTAACCTCTACTTCACGCTATACACAAAAATTAATTTTAAATGGATCATAAATTTATGTCAAAGAGAAAACAAATAAAGCTTCTAGAATAAAATGGAGGGGATTATCTTCACAACCTTGGGGTAGGCAAAGATTTTTCAAACATTAGTATTAACCATAAAGAAGAAGATTAATAAACTCAACTTCATTAAAATTAAGAACTTCTGTTGATCAAACCTCATTATAAAGAAAGAAGGCAAGCCACAGACTGAAAGACTATTTATAATACATATATCTACATACAGCACGGTTACTATAATTAATACTATATAGTTCGTACATCTGTCAAAGGACTCATAACCAGAATGTACAAAGAACTCCTACAAAGCAAAAGCAAGACAATCCAACCTTCAAAATGGACAAAAGCCTTGAATAGGTAGTACCCAGGGAGGGAAGGAATGTTGACTAGGACAGGATACAAGTAAGCCTTCTGAGATGCTGGAAAAGTTCTTTATCTTATCTGGGGTGATGGCTATTCAGTTGTATATATTCAAGTATAGAAAGTCAGTAAAACTAAATATTAAAGATATGTATACTGTGCTATATGTAAAACCTCAACTTAAAAATAAAACTTTTTAAATAACAATTAATTTTAATAAATGGACTATAGTTCATCCAGAAACCTATATAGCTGAAATAATTTTTAACCTCATAATACATAGCATTACTTTCACTATATTCATTTCTTAAAGCAAACACTGATACTAGGTTTGTTTTGGAGCATTTTAATAAACAAATGATGTGCCTCTACTTGTGATTATCTGGTATAGCACAGTGCTCAAGAGTACAGATTTTTTTTAATTGAAGAAATGATTTAATTTTAATTTTTTTTAATTTTTAAAAAAATTTTTTCCTTTTTTTTCTTTTTTTTAGGGGAGGGAAAAAAGAAAAAAGAAATGAAAAATTTTTTTTTTATTTTTAATTTTTAAACAATTTTTAAAATTAAATCAAGAGTACAGATTTTAAAGCCAGACAATCTAAATTTATATCTTGCTTATTAGTTATCACTTCTCAGAGATTCGGTTTCTCATTTTTAAAACAGGGCAGAATATCCAACTTTTCAATTGTTAAGGTTAAAGTGAGACGGTCTATATTAAAGTATTTAGCATTATGTCTGTCAAATAGTGCAAAATAAAGGTATTACAATATTTTATATTAAAATATCCCCCTTTAAGAGAGCTTGGTACTCTATATTATAGTATTAGCACAAAGGAAAATCTCTATTCTCATTCTAAATATATGAGTCAAAGAATTAAAAAGCATGACTTTTTCCCAAATAGCTTGTAGAATCATTCATTCACTTATTCATTCCATAAACATTTACTTAGGATAATTACCATTGCTAGGTCCTATGCAAAGCTTATTTTATTTCATCCTTACAAAAACCTCATGAGATCAGTAAAGGTATTATCTCTATTTTATAGATGAAGAATTTACGTTTGAAGAATCCAAATAACTTGCCCAAAGTCACCATATTGATCCATCACTGGTCTGACTCCAGAGGTGGTATCCTTAACCAGTATGCTCTAGGTACGCTAGATGCTATGGGGATTAAAGATGAATAAGATAGTCTCTGTCAGAGTTAATAGTAAAACAACATAGACTAAACAATTCAGCGAGTTACAATATATGATGGCATCTGATAAACATCATGTAAGAGGTGCAAAAACTAATGGAAATGCAGAAATAGGTATAATTTGAGTTAAGAGAGAGTTCTTGGAAAGACATAATTGAACTGGGCTTTGAGGTAAGTTCTAGATGAGTAAGTTTTAGATAGACAGTTAGGATGAAGCAGCCCACATTAACGAGCCTCCTACATTACTGAAGACTCACATTAGTTATCCATCTGGAATAACTAGGTCTTTGGAGCTACACAATCCTATCCATAACTTATTTCCTGTGTTACCATGTCCATCTAATCTACTTTCCAATCCTCTGCCAACAAGCCTGGGAATTACATTCACCACCCTAGATGCCAATCCCTACAGCTGATTACCTTGCTTCTCTCATCTCTTATGGAAACTCTACCCTTTCATCTACATTTTTTACATTTCTTTGCTAGCCCACTATATTCCCTTCCAGAGTCAATACAATTTCCTTAAATTCTGAATCTTTTCCTTGAACATTTCCTCTACCTTAGTTTAACTGAATTCTAGCTTTTTAGACTACAGTATTTTTTATAAAAAGATTTTCTCAAGAAGAATCTTCTCCCACTTAAAAAAAAACCAGGACTAGGGATTAACAATCTCCTCCCCTAACTACCACTTCCAATTAATATTCTATCTTTACTGCAATAATTCCTCTTCTAAAATACCCACAAATTGGATATATGACCTTACCCATTGATCACCACTGACCCAAGACCTTCCCTAATATTCCTAGAATATTCTGACACTCAATTCATAGTTTGTCTATCACTAAAATCTACCATCATTCTAAACCTCTAAAACTTCCATTAATCTACTCACTCAGTACAAAGGACTCACCTTAATGCACTCCAACAAATTTCCTCCACATATTCCCATTTCAAAAACACACATTCGTGAATGGATTTAAGGAACAGCACTGCATTTCTCAAGTTCTCAAATGTGAATCTTTCAATCTACAACATACTATCCTTTGGTCCTTCCATTTCCTCACTCACATTGAACACATTTTTTGCCCGCACATCTTGTCATATCCTTTAACCCTAACTAAATTTATTTATTTTTCTTTCAAATTCTTCTTCTGGACTTCTTAGCACTGCCGAGGTCACATAATTGTTGTAACTACAGCTACTACTACTACAAACTCACACTTGTTTTAAGACTTTCAAAATTACTTAATAGTTCTTGTATTCATACCTAATCGACCTCCTACTCTATTTTGAGCTCCCAGTACCATTTGAAAGTCTCTTTCTCAAAAGATGATCTTCCCTCCTATTTCACTTAGAAGCCATAATTGCAATGTCCTTAACTTTTTGAAATTTGTATCTTTATCCCTCTTCCCTCCTTTCTGCATGTCTCAACTGTCCCTTGATTACTCTCCCATTTCTTCTGGATCCTCGTCCCATCAATTATCTCCTACCTGATAACTTTCTCTCTCCACTGATCCCTTTCCCACTCCCTACAAACCTGATTTGCCTTTTATTATCTTTAAAAAAAAAAAGAAAGAAAAAACTTCCTTTCTACATAATTTCCCACTCTAGCTTGTTCCGGAAATCTCCTTTCTTTCACATTTCATTTTTCCTGTTTCCTTACAACCACTCATTTGTTCAACATCCTGAAATCTGACTTTTGTCCCTACTGCTCTATATCTAAACCAGTGGCAACTGAGTTTAACTCACTGATTGACATTGCTTTTCACTCTCCTACCTTGCTTCTCAAACCTATCGCATTCTTAATCTGCCTAACTGCTTACCATCCTTACTTTGAAATTAAATGTATGTGATTCAAAACTTTTCTCACTCTAAACTACTTCTGTAATTCCATTCATTCCAATGGCTTCAGCTAACATCTCTGTAAATAAAGTAATTTTATCATGATTAATTAGATTCTCATTTCAAACTTTGATTATGGTTTATTATACTTACGATGCAAAATATGCAGAGATCCCATGGGCCTACAGGCAAATGAAAGGTGTATCATCAGGGGATACTAGATTCTCAAGATGAAATTAGGCGAGGAAGGGAAGTTTCAAAATGAAGCAAGCTTGAAAAACACTGCATGCTCAGTCAATTCTTTTGGAGAGGCACAGTGTACAAGAGCATAGCAAAGGCTCTGAAAAATCCTGCAGTAAATAAAATTTTCTGGTAACTACAGTTGTTACACGTAATTGCCCATGGAATCTCCTTTTTTCCAAGTAGGCTCACTAATGTACTGTGACAGTAAAAAATTAAAATTTGTAATCACAATTTTGTAACCAGATCCCGGCTCTTCTTATTTGCTATTGCTAACAGCTGCTTACCCTCCCTAAATCCCAGTTTCCTCATCTGTAAATCAGAAACAACTACCTCAAAAGGCTTTTGAAAGCATTAAAGTTTGTAAAATTCTTAGCACACTGCTTAGTATCTAAGTACTCAGAAAATATATATGTACACTTAACTCAAACGAGAGTGAACACAGATCTTGAAGAATGTTGCCAGAAGCAACCAGTTGAAACCTGAAATTTACTTGAACGTTCCTGTTTTAATTCAAAAACTCATTTGAAAATTGTGATCTATGACTCCAAATACGTTATACTTTTGTTGCTGTTAAATTTTTCTAATGGTTATTCTCCCTTGAATGACCCATGCAATCAATTATTTCATTCAACTCTTAGTGGATCTGTCTCTGGTACTAATAATTTTTTTATGTGTCTCCATCTAATTTACTGCTTTTGATATGCTATGAACTAGGAAAAAAGATAATCATGCTTATAAATAATTTTAAAATAGTCGATATACTCTGAAAAAGGGCTTGAGAAACTTCTTTTAAGTGAATTTTAGCATATAGACTTTGTGACTTCTCTCATTGCTTAGAAATGTTCTGTGCTAAATTCCTGATTCATGGCCCCATTCCAGAAAAGCAGGGTAATCAGAGGTTTTCTGGTTCTACTTAAGGAATTTTTTATTTTAACAGAGTAATTGATTTAAGCCAATAAATTTTCAAAAAAAAAAAATTGAGAAAAATGGCATTGTTACATATTTTCAAATCTTTTTAATGTCTGGCTTAATAAGACAGCTGACTTCCATCAGCTTCTGCATTCAATTTGTTGTGATACATGTCATATAGCCCCTGAAAAACTCTATTGCACATATGTAGGCTAATAAGAGGGAAAAGCAAACAATGTCTTAAAACATTATGAAAATAGTTCTGACCTCACAGATCCAAAAGGGTCTTAGGGAATCCAGAGGTCCCCAGAACACCTTAAGAACCAGTGCTCAAAGCAGATACAGCCATGCTGGAAGCCATCCCACTTGCAGTTATCAGTTATGTGAAACCATAAATACTTAGTGTTTAGCTTAAACCAGCTGCAACTGGGTTTCTGCTACTTACAACTAAATGAGTTCTGAGCAAAACACCCAATGTAACCCTTCAGAGTTCTTCCTTGTTTAAGAGAAAGTTTAGGGAAACCTTGTGCATAAAGGAAACCTTGTGCATAAAGGAAACTTTGAAACTTGTCTCTTTTTTCCTACTGCTATCCTTTCTTCTACCTCTAACATAGAATTATTCGTGTTTTATTAATCAAATTCCTTTCTTTGGGTACTTATGAAATTCTGATGACCATAAATGTCACTTCCAGACATGAGTTCCAGTTAGCAACTACTAATAAAATGGCAACTGCAAGCGTATAACTGGCATACAGAATCCAGAATTCCTTGAAATGTGAATAATCCTTTGTTTTATTTCCAGGAATTGATGTGGAAAAAAATTAAATATACACTATTAAGAAAAGAATCATTCTTAAAAATTAATGTTCCATCTCTTAAAACCAGATGAATACTGGAGAATAGCTATGTAATATTAGATTTCAGAATGGTTTTTAATTATATGTTAACAATTACCTTTCCGAAAGAACAGCTCCAAAAAGATAAGTCATCAGAAAAAAAATTCCTCTCCAGAGGAGTAACTAACACAAATATCAGTGTCTTTTAAGAATTAACAAGAAAAACTTGCTGACTGAGAGGAGCCCTACCTCATATTCTACAACTTCACTTTGGTGTCTCCCAGATGTATTACCCAAGACTAAAGATAGTCATTTAAAGCGCAAAGCAATCTCAAAAACAAAAACATGTTGAGGGGAAAAAAAATATGCTGAGAATAAAAACACAACGAAGGAACGGCTTTAAATCCTTTGTTCGACTTTTTAATCCCTTTTCGAAGGAGGAGGAGGAGGCTGGGAAGAAAAAGGTTATTAAGCGGGCCAGTTCAGAAGGAGACGTGTTGCAGCATTTATCCGACGAATGAAGTGTCAATTAGCGAGACCTGACTTTCCATCTTTGCAGCCGCTCTACCTGCCGGGGGGGTAGGGGGGAGGGTAGTAAATAAGAGGCGAAGTCGACACTAAAGAAATAGAGAAAGTGGGATCAGGAGCTGAGAAGCTGGAAAAGAAACTGGAACATTGGCGAAATTACAAGGAAGGCGTGGCAGGAGAGCCGCAAGCCAAGCGGTTAAGATCCGTGGGCCGATAAGACTCTGCAGGGTGTTCGCAGGAAGAGAAAAAAATGAGATGTTGGGGTGAAGAGCTGCCAAGGCTTCGGTGACAGCTCGGACTGGGTGTTCGATTCGCAGAGGCGGGGGTGACACGGGAGTCTTTTATTGTGCGCGCCCCTCGGTTCCCTCCCCTCCCCGCCCCCGCTTGAGCCCCAGCCGGAGCTCGAGCCCTCGCAGTTCGGGGCCGCAGCACCCGCCGCTGCCTGTGCCTCCCACTTGCCCAAGGTGGGAGACACTTATGCTCAACCTTCCTCCGACCCTTTCTCACCGGATGAAGATCGGCGTCGCCCGGCCTTCCCCCTGTCCATCTTCTCCTCCTCCTCCAGCTGGAGTCACAGTTGCAGTCGCTGTCACCTCAAGACCCCTCGGCCTGGGGGAGGGAGGGGGAGGGGAGAGAGGGGTAAAAAAAAAAAGCCAGGAACGTGTGAACTGCGCTTGCGCAAGAGCCGTCGTCGGCCCTTAGACCGGAAATCAGTAGCCCCTCCCACCTCCACCGGAAATTACTTTCTGGGACCTGTTTTTTTCTGCGGGTTGCCACATGAAGTCCTTTTTTTAAGGGTGGGGTTTTTTTTCCATTGTCTCTGCGCCTATGACAAAGTGAAGCTGGGTGCAAAGTTTTAGCCCGAGGTCTGCAACGGCTTTGCTAACTTGGAAGACTAAATCGCCGAAAAATTAAACAGGAAACTTTAGGAATTCCACCAGTGCACGGAATCTTGCGAGGTGGCCCCAGAAGTATGAGAATTAAACGTTACTCTTTTTGTAGTCTTAATTTCATTACGGTCCCTCCAATTATTTTTCCATCAATGCGCTTCCTCGACTCAGAAACAAGTGTTTTAAGACGGCAAAATCACTTAATAGCCTGGCGATTAGTTTAGCAGTTGGAGTGGAAATAAATTAGGTCAGCTGAGGAAATAAAAAATCAAGATCTCTTTAAAATTCAAGCTCGTTTTTTGAAGACCAGGAAAAAAAAGATGAGCTAGACGTCAGTTTTTAAAAACAAAATGCTGAGATGAGATGTTAATAAAAAGCAGGTGGTTGTAAATTGGAATTCGTTCAACTTTTATTTACAGTACTGAAGGGCATAGCCCTGTCCTCAATGAACTCAACTTTTAGACTATTTTTTAGTCCTTTCAAAGGGCCCATAAGTTTAGAAAATTGCCCTATTTTGTTAGCCATAATGGATATATGGGAATATTTATTTAACTATGTAAGCTTTAATCACAATAGCCTAACAAAATTCAAAAGAGCGCTCTAGTCAACGGCAAAATTATATTGTAAATAATGTTCCGAGCTAGAAAGAACCCTGGAGATACTTGAGTTTAGCATCAGCTACTCTCTCCCCATTTTACCAAGGTCAGCAAAGGGCCCTGCCCAACTCTCCACTAGAGAGCAGTCTGCTACTTCTGGAGTTTTGCATCTTAATGACTGCATGGTCTGTGCTGAGGCAGAGGTAAGCCTCCAGGTGTTTAGCCTATTGGGCTGGGGGAGTGTCTAAAAGGCCGGAGTAGCTGAAAAGTAGAAATACTTCAGGGGTTGCTGAGAATGAAATTCACTACAAGAATTTCATTTACAGGCTCTAGTTTATTTCTGTTTAACAAATAAAAACATTGCTTACTGAAAAATGTATGAATTTTAAGTTTAATCATAAATCAGCCTTTTTTATTCAGTAATTTAGTGCAAGAATCAAACCGGCTTAATTTATAAGCCAATTTTATAGGACAAATTAACTGCAAAAGATGGAAATAGAGCTGAGAGATGGAAACGTGAAAAAGGAAAGTGTAAGTAGGCCTAATTCATTTCCACCAAAACTAGCAGCTTCCATAAAAGTGGTTTTAAAATTTAGAGGTAAAAAGGGAACTTATGCAAAATGAAATTATAAGAAGTTAAATTATTCAGCATGCAAATATATCATTTAAATTTGTTACTGAACCAAATATAGCATTTTTGCTAATAGTGAGCCAGGTTGTTTCTTTGAATTGGAGCTTGTTTTGAATAACACATTTGAAGATAAATGACCTTTAAACTCAAGAATTTAAAATTTACAGTCTACAGCCGTGCCACCCTGAGCAAGCCCAATCCTGTCTGATCTTGGAAGCTAAGCAGGGTCTGGCCTGCTTGGATAGGAGACCACCTAGGAAGACCAGGTGCTGTAGGCATAAAAAATTTTTTAAAATAAAGGATTGTAAGCTGACAAGGTCCTTGCAATCTGTGAGTTCAACCAAGGGTTGCCTCGCCCAAAAAAGAAAAAAAAAAAAGAATTTCAAATTTGCTCTTTAACCAGCATTTTTATTGTTTTAGCTTTCACAATCTACTGCATAGTTGACTGTATTACAACCAACTAAAAGACTAAAAAGTTCAATTTCTAATCTTGAGGGAGTCATTTAACAACCTAATTTTGCCTTTTATGATAGACTAAGTGATCTTTTATAGTGCTTTACTTTGTTCAGCTGAAAGTTTCCTTATATGAAAGTCCTTATATGAAAGTCAAAAAATAGTGAATGATTTTCTTGGTATGTTTGGGGATAATGTTATTTTTTTTTTTTTCATTTTATGTACGTTTAGCTCACACTATATAGAGCCTTTTAAATTAAAATCATTTGAGATTAGAAATTCATCAACCCAGCATTTTATAAGATGGTGGGCTGGTTTGATCTTAATGGATATGGTTCTTTATTGAGTGTTCAAAGTATGTATTAAGTATTTAAATTACGTATTCATTATATTTTTGTCTTAATGGTGAGTATGGTTTTAATAGTGGCAGTGTGAAATTGGTCAACCCTTTATTTTACCCCTTGATTAACAATTTCTTTGAAGAGAGATTAATGAAATCTACAAAAGGCCCTTTCTCATCACAAGTGAATTAACTAAAAGTACAATATGAATATAAATAGATTTGGAAGAGCACTGGGGACATCTTGACTTCCTAAACTTTTTAGAAATTTAAATGAACAAAAATAAACAATCTAAAATTCCTTACCATGGGCTCCAGGAAAGCCTAGATTTCACAGATATTTGGAGTCCTGTGTCATTTGGTATTCACCTCATTTTCATTAGTAGTCAATTCTTATCCTTAAAATATTGAGAATTTTTACGTGAAGGAAGTTTTTCTTCCACAGATAAATGAAGTAACATGATTAATAAAAAGATGTGGACAGGCTGTTTGGTTTCAATGATATCTTCCTTTGTAAAGCAATCAGTAATTATAACTACCCTGAAATGGAATAACCTGTTTCTAGAAGTTATGAAAACGTGCAGTAACTCAGGGTATTTGAGAAACAGATAGGTATTCTTATGTCCTGGAAGCTGTAGAAGGAATCTATGCACAAACCTTTAACCTAAGATCCCTAAACTGTCATTTGGCCCTGGGACGGAGCCCAAGATATCCTGTACATACATCACTAATTTCTTTGAAGTGTTCTATCTTAAAATGTTGTGTTTATTTAGCATTCTACACCTTAATATATTTGGTTGATTTTAATTAAAAATTTTTACTTCATGTTATAATTTAATAAAATTGAGGCTTTAGGTAGTCTCATCTTCTTTATCCTATAATATTTGGTACCCACTTACCTCTGAATTTGCACTCCAAATCAAGGAGCATAGGATCTAGGACTGGACAAAATGTATAAATCTAAAATGTAGCTGTCAGAATTATTTGGGAAAACCATTTTTAAATTACCTGTTTCCAAGTCCCTCCTCAGACCTCTTGAATCAGAATTTCCTAGAAGTGGAGCCTAATAATCTATATGTTTAAAAAGGTTCCCAGGAAGACATACCAGTTTAAAAAAAAAAAAAAAAAAAACAGAAAAAGTATAAAACTAAACTGCTAAACTATAGGTCCTAGGGCTGCACACTCAAAGTAAAAACCATTAAGAAATATAAAGCAGTGGTTACTTGTAGAGGGAGGGATAGGGCAGTTAATGAAAGGCATGTTAGGAATGACTGGCAAGGCCAGCCTAGGGTGGTTACAAGGGTGTTTCACTGAACTATTAATTTTAAAAACTCTCCTAGGAAATTCTGTGGCATACTCAAATTTGAGAATGTGGTGACCAAGATGTGGTGACATCTGACTTTCTTTCTGTCCCTAATATCCTATTTTCTATAAATCTTTGCCTCAGGTGGATTAAATTCAGCTTTAGTCTTTCCTGGAGAGAGGTAGGCAGGGGGAAAGGATACTATTTCGTTAACTCTTTTTTGAAACTTCTACATATATAATTTAATAAGCTCTATCATTTTCTATTTTCTACAATTAACTAAATGGAATTACTGTATGCAATTATAATTTTTTCTTAAAAAAACTCCTAGTTGCATTCTGTGCTGGGAAAATTAGTACTGCTCTTGTACTAAAACAATAATAGTTTTCTTAAAATATGTTTTACAGTGGTTTTTTTCTGTTTTTTCAATTAATTAAAACAAGCTTATTTTTTTATTTAGATATTTTTAAATATTCTGAGCAAAGCATCCTTCAGTCTGCTTCTTAATGGCATAGGATATACAAAAGGACCTCTTTCTTAAATATACCAACAGATGGTAATTACTGTAATAGGGTATTACTGGGTAACCAGGAGCAAAAGGGAAATAAATAAGGAGTTATTACTAATGGGTACAAAGTTACAGTTTTGCAAGATGAAAAATGTTCTGTGGATAGGTGGCAGTAATGGTTGCACAATAATGTGAATGTACTTAATGTTACTAAACTGCATACCTAACAGTGGTTAAAATGGTAAATTTTAGTATATTTTACCAGTTTTTAAATAAATAAAAATAATAACCACATGTAGAGCAAGTCATAATAGCTGTGCCACCTAAACCAGATTACTAAAAAGACCTAATTTGAAATTATTATTAATATATATTCTTTTTTTATATCAGTCAACATAAAATGACTAGACTGCTTGATATTTGTCTAACAAATGTTCTCACTAAATTTTGGTAAATGAATGAAATACACAGTCAAATACTATGTCTTTTTTTTTTTTTTTGGTGACATTGGTTAACAAAATCATTGGGTGTACAATTTAACAGTAAGGCACATATATATTGCATTGTGTGTTCCCCTTCCATAGTTAGATTTCTTTCTGTCACCACATATTTGACCCCTTTTATCCTATTTACCTCTTCCCTCACCTCCCCACCCCCCACCCTCTGGTAACCACTAGTCTATTGTCCATGTCCATGAGTCTCTGTCCAGTTCATTTATGGCTTTTAGGTTTATATCCCACATATAAGTGATATAGTGGTTTTCAACTTTGTCTTATTTTGCTTAGCATGATTATCTCGAGGTCCATCCATGTCACAAATGGCAGTTTTTCAACTCTTCTTATGGCTGAGTAATATTCCATTGGAATACTATGCATTTTTAATATCACTGGTAAAAATTAACCTTATCTCAGGCTTCTAGAGCTGCCTGAGTTACTTTGAGTATGTCATTTTACCTTTGAAAGCCTCACTTCTCTATAAAAATAAATATATTAGCTAAGAATAAAATAAATATATTAGCTAAGAACATCCCTTGCAGCTCTAACAATATTATTCTGGTAGCAAATCTGCCTTATTCCAACCCATTCTTTAGAAAACTAGGCATATAAAACAGTTTTATTCTCTCCTTTATTTAAATGGACCACCTCGATTTGCAAAAGAGAAAACATATACATAGATGCATAGGATATTCTCAAAATAATTCATAATTCTACATTTATTAACTTTAGAATTATAGAAAAAGTTTCTGTAGTTTTTCAAAGCTTTGTGTGCATCTTCTCCTATATGTATTGCTAGAGGGCTTTTGTTCTTTACTTCCTTATGCCCTTAGCAAAAATCATAAAAATATTTAAGTGCCTACTATTCACCAGGCACTATCCCAAGAACTAGAGATACAGTAATAAACAAAATGAAGTCCTTGTCCCTGCTCTCTTAGAACTTACACTCTAATGGGGAGAAGTAGACAATAAACAAGTATATTTCACAGCTGATAAGAAAATAAATGAAAGGATGAAAGTGGGGAGAGACGAAAGAAAAAGAAGAGAAAGAAGAGGAAGGAAGGAAGGAAGGAAGGAAGGAAGGAAGGAAGTTTCTTTGACTTGATTTATCCATAATCTTTCCCAGTGATTATAGCAAAGAGGGAAGAGGGAGGAAAAAGAAATACAAAATGAACGGGTTTGATTGCGTGCTAGGCTTACAAATGTAGACTATTCAAATCTGCATTTTACATATATTCCACCTCCTTTTTAAAACGAGTCAAGGTTTTGATGGCACACTTCAATTACCATCCCAAAGTGCAATACTCAGAAAGAAAGAAAGAGAAAGAAAGAAAGAAAGAAAGAGGAAGGAAGGAAATGAGAAAAAAGCATCAGACGAAGAGCTCAGAGAAAGTTCTCTGGTCAGTTTACAAGTAGGAAGAAACTTTA